GGAAAAGAGGAAGGGGGAGGAGGAGGGGGGAAGGAGAGGGGAGGAAAAGGTGGAAGAGGATGATGCACGGACCAGCGAAGCATACGCCGAAACCACTGTGTAAGACGAGTTACATGTACAGGGTGTCGTCGTTGGCAAGCACGAATGTAACAAGTCCATCCACGGGCTAATGTGGATGGAGCATGGCCACGAGTAAGCAAACGGCGGACAAGCATGGTTGCCGCAGTTCTGAAATCATGCCAATTGTCACAAATCTGCTCAAACCGCGTAAGCTGACCGGTGAACACAGCTGCAGGCTGATGAGATGGAATGTTCTACGTGGCACTAGGATATCGTATAACAGGAAAATGCCATGCAACAGTCTTATCAAACACACTCAATCGGAGAGATCCATCAGCCCGTGTCTGCAGTTTCACACCTAAAAAGGTGCACGAGCCATCAGCCGCAGTGGTCTCTTTTCATTCAAGACCATAATAGGCTGGCGATGGTGGCAGACAATCAAAGGTAAGAACATCATCAATGAACAGATAAGTGAAAACATATCGACGGGCTGCAGAGGGATCTACACGCTGCAGGTTGTCCACGTACTGCGCCTCATCCCAATAGAGTGCAAGGTTAGCAATCTCAGGACCAGCGTTTATATACATATATCATGAAACAGAGCTGCCTACGGGAGAAGAGGACAACAAACGAGGAGGGGCTGTGACAAACTGTTTCGTCGGAGTTTCACCGACTCATCAGGAGGCTGAACCCTCGACAGTCTGCAAAATCCCCGAACTGATTACACTCCCCCCCAACGTCAAAAAAATGGGCCCCCAACGTCAAAAAAACGGCTTTCCGGGACCATCGGAGGCTGGTAGCCCAGAAGAAGCGGAGGTCGGCCTAAAAAAAGGAAAAAAAAAGCACAAACGATTTTTCATGCTCAGAAGAATAAACCAAAAAATCTGAAATTTTAAGATCCGGTAGATTTGGTCGTGATCTATTCGAGGAAAATATTAAAAAAAATAAATAAAATATTTTAGATGGTGAAATACTATCCGCGCCGATTCGAGGCATTTTCCGTTCTTGCCACTTTGCCACCTGCGCGCCAACGGGAAAGTACTCCGTTCTTGGCACTCTGCCACCTACCCTGAAGTGTATATATTTGGAACCATACAGAGAAGATTAGTACGGCCCCTGCGTAAAGATAAGACGCATAAATCGAGAATTGGTCCAAATTGGAAAACAACAACAACAAAAAAAAAAACAAGCAGAAAGTTGCACAAGGGCCGCATTGCAGAAACGTCGCATTGCAGCAGAACTATCACACTGCGGAAAGGTTACGAGGAGGGGAAACAAAAAAGAGATGAAGTTCGGAGACTCTTTAGAGCCCCCCAAGCGCTGTCATCAGGCCAGACCATAACAAATCGGAGGGGAGAAAGATGATGCGCCAATGGGGACACAGAATACGCAGCAGCAACAGCACAAAAGGAAGACAACACAAAGACGCCAAGCGAATTTTTAAATCAGCAGATAGTAGGACAATGTTATGGCCTTTACGCAACTTCCAAAAAATGGAAGAGCACAAACGAGATAAAATTTGAAAAAGCACCTCTGCAGAAGAAAGCTAAAATTTGAGCGAAGCACTTCTTTAACTGCTAAAACCCCTCCTACCTCCTACGTCTGCTAACCCCGCTACCCTGATCCATCCATCCATCCATTCCCCCATCAGCCTCCAAATCCATTCCAAGCTTGACTCCGCAAAATGCTCTATCCTCCTTTGCTATAGCTTGACGCGGCAAGCTGCAGTGCGTTGCCACCTGATTAGGTAAGTCCCCAATAGCTCCTCTATCCTCCTTTGCTATAGCTCCTCTATCCTCCTTTGCTATTGCAGGTTACCGCCAACAGCGTGGAATTCGACGGTGCCAGCAAACAAAGCAGTAGTGCGCAAAGACAATAACGACCAGTGATTCGACACTATCATGCTGCCCCGCTCTGTTTGCAGCAACCTGCTACACCCCTTGAGCACCCTACTTCGGTTTCGCACGCCTAGACTGCCTCAGTCTGACACCCGCACTTATGTTTGCAGCAACCTGCTACACCCCTTGAGCACCCTACTTCGGTTTCGCAAGCCTGGGCTGCCTCAGTCTGACACCCCACTTGTGTTTGCAGCAACCTGCTACACCCCTTGAGCACCCTACTTCGGTTTCGCACGCCTGGGCTGCCTCAGTCTGACACCCCCACTTGTGCCGCCTCTGACTGAAACACCGCCGAGTTCAAGTCTAATTCCCCCTCTTGTGCCTCCCTCTGACTGAGACACCGGTTCTGAACTCAGGGGTGCCTCAGTCTGACACCCCCACTTGCGCATGTCTCAGTCTGACACCCCCAGTAGTGCCTCCCTCTTACTGAAACACCGCCGAGTTCAAGTCTAACACCCCATCTTGTACCTCCTCCTGACTGAGACACCAGTCTTGAACTCAAGGGGGGGGGCTCAGTCTGACACCCGCACTTGCGCCTGCTTCAGTCTGACACCCCCACTTGGGCCTGCTTCAGTCTGACACCCCCACTTGCACCTGCCTCAGTCTGACACCCCCACTTGCGCCTGCCTCAGTCTGACACCCCCACTTGCGCCTGCCTCAATCTGACACCCCCACTTGCGCCTGCCTCAGTCTGACACCCCCACTTGCGCCTGCCTCAGTCTGACACCCCCACTTGTGCCTCCTCTGACTGAAACACCACCGAGTTCAAGTCTGACACCCCCTCTTGTGCCTCCCTCTGACTGAGACACCGGTCTTGAACTCAGGGGTGCCTCAGTCTGACACCCCAACTTGCGCCGCTTCTGACTGAGAAACCCCTGAGTTCAAGTCACCTGCTGCAGAAATGACGTCGATCCGCATGTCAGAATGAAGCAACCAATAAGCGACCTCCTACTCTGATTTCGCGCTACCACGCTGCTCTCATCTGCACCCCCACTTGCACCGCCTCTGACTAAGAAACCCCTGAGTTCGAGTCACCTGCTGCTTAAAGGCCTTCGGGCCGCATGTCAGAAGGAAGCAACAAATGAGCAACCTCGTACTCTGATTTCGCCCTACCATGCTGCTCTGCTCTGCACTGCGCGCTGCTACACCCCTTGAGCACCCTATCTTGATTTTGCACTGGGCAGCATGCACAAATAACTCACCCACACATGTCGGACGTCAAGAACCAAAAGAAAAAAAAACACCTCTTTCTCTATCACCCTTTCCTCCTCCCAGCTCTCCATTCCAATACCCGAGGAACGAATCCTTCTCTCTCTCTCTCTCTCTCTCTCTCCCCTGCCCCCCCAAACTCCGAGATAAGGAGAGTATTATCAGCTGACTGCACAAGTCGGTTTTTTTGGAGGCTGCGCGAAGCACGAGTCAGGGGAAATAGGCTCCGCTTATTTTCCTGATCTGTCCTCTCCCATCTCCTCCTCCCTCCCAAACACGACACGAGACAAAACAAAAACAAAGACCTCACCGATCGGGTTGACTTTGACCACCTGGCTTCTTCATGAAACACACCCACTGAAACCCATGTCATCATCATTTGCCTAGGCGACTCATTCATTACCAGCAAACACAAATCTTACTTCGACCGGGCAAACAGAAAAACAAATAAAAATAAAGTGAAAACGAAGAGAAAAGAAATACCGTGCCTTTTTCATTGCCTATCAACTGTCAAACCAATAGAAGAACCAGCTCAACGAGCGACCGACTGACACGTGGCGGCGATTGCCAAAGCAGCAGTGCACCCTCCTTATCGCGGGGTACCGCCGGGGGGTCAAAACACACGAGTGCCATCAACCCGCAGAGCAACCCGGCTTCCCTCTCCAGCCTTTTCCCCGTTAGACCCTCCCCTCGAAGACGATCCTGCCCCTCGTACATAACCCAATACCAAAGGCGTGGTTGAACCTGGCCGTGTTCCTAGTAACCATTCCCAACCATCGGTTTTAAAACTCCAGGGTTTGATGTCAAAGGATATCCGGACGGTCGGCAGTTTGCCGTCGGGCGCGTCGTCGTGCAATGAGAGTGATCGTACGACTGGCTTCGCATCACAAATCAAGGGACGTGGAAGGCGCAGGTGGGACAGGCCTCTTCTCGTTTAACACAAGTATCCAACCCCTGAAGGGTGTCGCAGGTGGGACCCCTCTTATCGTTGCTCGGGAACAACCATCATACCATCATACCCTTCGCCTCGGGCCCCACCCTTGAATGTTCTCCTTCCATCCACGACCGCTCGCGCGTTCCAATCGAGTCTTAAGACGACGTCCAAGGCTTGAACACTTGACGTACCTCACCTCCCACCGGTAATGAAGGAAGACACTCCACCGACAGCGTGTTCACAGCTTTCCAGCAAGCAACCTGCATCACACTCCCAACTTCCTACTCCACACTCAAGATCGGACGTATCCGTGACATCAGCCCGAAGCCGATCAATAATCGCCTCAAGAAGTAGCCGCCCCTTGCTGTCTCTCTCTCTCTCTCTCACACACACACACACACACACACACACACACACACACACACACACACACACACACACAGTGCAGACAGGACAATGACCGTTGAATCTGTGACTCCTTTGAGCCATCATGCACCCTGCAGTCGTCCTTCACACCGCTCGGTCCTTTCGTCGCTCTGGACTGGTCCCGTTGAACGATCTAAGAAAACAACAGAAAAAGGGACTTTTCTCCTACTCGTCAAACGAATTTTAACCACCAATCCAACTCGTTCATCCCACGAGAGCGTGCAAGAAAACAACCAACCAATCAATCAATCAATCGGCAATCGACAGATCGGTCGACCGAACATCATCATCAATCCGGTCCCACGTCCCTCATTCTGGTGTCTCCCCCAGCGTCCACGTCACCGCTCCCCCCCCGCCCCCTCCCCCCGCCCACTCTCCTTCCTAGACCAGCTCCATCTGCGTCCTCGCGGGAACCACTGGTTCGATTTCGTTCCATTGAGGAGGCCGCTCCAGTTGCGCGCAGTTCGTCAGAAGGAAGACCAGAAGCCCCCGCCGCCGCCGCCGCCGCCGCCGAAGGCGGTGCTGTTCCCGCCACACCACCCCTTATCCCTATCTCTCCTGCCGTCCGGCCTATGTCGCCAGAAGAGCCGCTTCCGCCGCCCACGGGCACAGCGGAGGCGGACTCCTCTGACGAACCTCCGAGAGCTCCTCCAAAGAGGTTGAATATGGCGCTTGTCCATCCTCCGCCACCGACCCTAGGCGCAGACCTGGGTGCCGACCCAGAACCAAGGGAGCCATCGACTCCGTCGCCCGCGGAGGACGGGGCGCCTGCAGAGGTAGACACATCCGTAGCCGCGCCGCCGGTACCCGCGGAGCTTCCTTCACCAGCGGCAGCAGCTACGGTCGAACCCCGACCTCCCCCACTTCCCGCCCGCGTAGACTCCGTCTCCCCCCACAAGCCTCCGACCCCGCTCCCGCTACCTGCCACCCCTCCCACTCCTCCCACAACGTTCACCACTCTCCCAGGTCCACTTCGTCCCACACGAAACCTAAGGGTACCCCCCCCTCCACCGTGTGGGGCCCCAATTCCAATTCCCACCCCTCCGCCGCCGCCACTGCCGCCGCCACCGCCAGCCGCCGCTCCCACCCTACTATTATTGTTCACGTGCTGATGCCTCGCTCCCCCTGCAGTCCCCAACCTCGTCCTATTGTACTCGGGATCGTCCGTCTCGAGCTCGTACCTGCAGACGGGACAAGAGTTGTGATCCCTGAGCCAGGGCATGATGCAATCATCATGGTATAGGTGGCGACAAGGCATCTCCCTCACCTCCGAGCCCATTTCGAAGGCATCCTTGCATACGGCGCACACGGCGCCGCCATCATCATCGTCTAGCCGCTCCTTGGTAATGGTCACTTTTTTAAGCTCCTCCACCGCTTTGCGAGACGCTGGGGGCGTGCCGTACCGATTAGGGTCATTCTCCGCCAGATGCTGGATGAGCTGCTCCAGACCAGGTCCAATGAAGTAGTCGCCGATGTTCCCGCCCAATCGACGACCACCCACTACACCCGCGGTATTGTCGAAGACCAATTCCAAGGGATTTCCCAGAAAAGCCTGCAGATACATGTGAGGGTTTCCTGGAAAGGCAGCACCACCGTCCATCCCTCCTGCTGCCCCTCCTGCTACCGCTGCTCCTGCTCCTGGTCCTGCCCCCGCTACGATCCCCGCACCTGGTAGCATTCCTGGACCAAGGAACAGGCTGGCGTCATCTATGAAGGGAGATAGGCCGGGCGCGAAGGCGGAAGGATTGCGCGGGGCCAGGCCGCCTGCTGCGGCTCCGCGATTCATTTGCAGGAACATCTGATGGACGGCCTCGAGCATCTGCATGGCGGACTGATTGCCGCGCACGGTATAGGTCTGATGATGACGATGCGCCGGGCCGCCCGCCGTGGCGCCAAACTCCGATCCCCCAGCGCCCGAAGGACTGGGTTCAGCGGATCCAGAGCCGCTGCTTCCGGCTGGAGTTGCGCCGGAGGAGGCGGAACCACCACCTCCACCTGGTCCGCCCACCTCCGACAAGTCAGCTCCGCCGGTAGAGCTGACCGTCACCTCCACGCCACCCCCCCCCAGGGGAGCCCCGAAAAAAGGACCAAAAATCCCCCCCCCGTCTGGGCGGCCCGTCGGCGGCGTGTGCCGCGCATGGCCCGCCTCCACCTCTTCGACGAAACCCTGCTGACATCGAGGACAATTCACATCCTCCGACGCTTGCGGAATAGCAACAGTGCTGTGGCACATGTGGCACCAAAACAGCCCGCTGCCTCCGCTCGACATCTCTCTCTCTCTCTCCCCCCCCCCCCCCCCCCCCCCCCCCCCCCCCCTCCCCCCCCCCTCCCCTTTTTGTTTAAATTTAATTGTGGGTCCCCCATGTGGTTTACGCACACGATCCGCCCAGTTGGGGGGGGGGGGGGAGGTATGGGTGGAGGAGGAAGGGGGGGAAGCTTTTGGCCCCGGTGGGGAGGCTTGTGGTCCCTGTGACTGTTGAGTGGAAGGGGGTAGCATCCTTTGTAGTTTTTGGAGCTCCCCCCATCAGTTTGTCAGCCGCGTGCTGCCTCATTGCGCCCCGATATAACAATGTGGAATCGAGTTTCTTCTGGACCCTTTGATATTTAACACTCGGCTTCAGGTTGTTCTTAGGCTTCATGGTTTGTGTTGTTGAATCCTCCCCCTCGGTTTTCCGGTCTGTTGGATTAGCAGGAAGGACAAGCGAGGATGGCCAGGGGGGCCAGGTCAGAGTCGAAGTGTTTTATTCTGTTCTACAGATTATGCGTAAAACAACTTCCGAGTCGGAGTATACAAAATGCAAAGATCGGATCTACTGATCGATAAAAGGGTCACGCCTGTACAGATGCCACGAGGTAGGTCAGAGTTGAGTTGTTCAGTTGAGCGCAAATCACACCTGTCCAGGGGACTCAGAATCTATCTGATGTGTACAGAGGACACCTAGTCAAAATGCAAAGATCTGATCTGCAGATTGACAAGCGGATCACGCCTGTACAGATGACCCTAGCGGGGGGAAGTGGCCAGGCTCGAGAGAATGGGGCGAGGTAAGAGCCTGCTCAGGACGGGGAAGTTGGGATGGAGGAATGCCTTGCAGGGGAGGCCGGAGGGGGCTGTGCAGATGACCCGAGGAGGGTAGGTGGGGGGCGAAGTGCGAAGTTCGACTGTACAGATTGATGAGCAGATCCCGCCTGAGCTGGTGACACAAGGCTAGCGGGGGGAGCGATCCGGATCCGGAGGTTGGGGCGAGGTGCAAGTCTGCTCAGGATTGGGAGATTGGGATGGAGGATGGCCTGGCCGGGAAGGTGGGTGGGGGGCGGAGCCTGGGCCAAGTCTGGATCGAGGGGTTCACTATGCTCTGAACGGCGGATGGATGGGCTGCGAACCGGGGGGGAAGGTCAAAACGGGGCTGGGAAAGGGATACGATCCAATTGGAGGAGGTGCGCTCTTAACTGAGTGGCACGTTGATGGGAAAATGGACAAGGTCGAACCATCCAGAGGGCTCTATGCTACCGGGGAGGAGATGGTCGGGATCGGGAGATGGAATCGGGCGATGGGGCGAGAGGGGGTCCACGACAGCATAGAGTGGTCGCGCTCTGTTCTGAGCGGTGGGCTGGAGGGCCGCGAGTCAGGGGGACTGGATGCTCTTCGGTCTCTGATGTGATCAGTGGGGTGAAGGGCGACGGGCCAGGGAGAAAGGTCTCTTCGAGGGGGGGGTTAACTGAGTGGCAGGTTTGATGGGAAGATGGTCAAGGTCGAACCATGCACATGACGGGTGATAGAGCCACCGGGGAGGGGGTGGTCGGGATCGAGAGATGGAGTCGGGAAATGGGGCGAGAGGGGGTCCACGACAGCATAGAGTGGTTGCGCTCTATTCTGAACGGTGGGCTGGAGGGCCGCGAGCGCGAGTCAGAGGGACCGAGTGCTCGGGCTCTGATCTGAACAGCGGGGAGAAGGGTGACGGGCCGGGGGGAAAGGTCTCATCGAGGCGAGGAGGGATCTAGGCACGTGAGAGAAATGCGGATCGGGGCGAGGAGAGATCCGGATGTTCGCCGGGTTGCGGGGTGGTTGATGAGCGGACGGGACAGCTCCTCCGTGGCGAGGGCCAGAGATAGGGAGGACAGTTTGAGGGGAACAATTGGGGCGGAGTGGGAAATGCGAGAACGGATTACGGGATCGATGGGGGACGGGGGAGGCTAGATCTAGTCTGGGCGGGGGGTTGCGATCGGTTTGCCAGGATAATGGGGTTGTTTCAATCAAGTGGTTGGCGGGAGTGCGGGTTGGATGGTAGGCGGGGCTAGATGTAGTCTGGGCGGGGGTGCGGTCTGATCATTGGGGAGGTGGCGAGATCGGATTGTAGAGATGTTGGGATTGATTAGAACAAGAGGCCATCGGGAGTGTGGGATGGAGGTAGATGAAAGAAGGGATTAGAACGATTCTGGGCGGTGGTACGATCTGCTCGTTGGGGTGATGGGTAACAAGCAAGGGGGATGGACGGGTTAGAGTTGAGAACGGGAAGGGAAATCACTCACTCCGTGCCATAGGAGCTTGCCATGAGGCCAGTTCGAAGTTCACCGCCTTCTGCACCGATAGCCAACCTAGCACTCCCCCACCGCGCAAGTTTCCTAGCGCAGGGCCCCGAGGGGAGCGATCGGTATCTGCCACCTGAGTTGTTGAAGTCGATCACCTTCCACGGCCAGTGTCGATAATCGTTCCACACTCGTCTACTGTGATTTTGGTTCGGTCCGGGTTGCTCCTTCTTCTCCGTCTGGTTCGAATTCCTTGTCTGCCTCATGCCCCGCAGATCCACACTTTGCTCCTCTTCCCGTGCTTCCTCTGCCTTGTGCCCTGCGCTACACTTCTGCCCCGTAACTCACCGATCCCACTTGCCACTCCCCGCTTATTACTCTTCCGCCACGTGTCCCCCTGTCCCACTTGTTTTTCGTTTACCTCTCATCTTTCTCTCGCATATTTCCCCTACCCCCCACCCGCTAGGAACGACCCTCCGATCTCGGGTTTTCTTCCTCTCACCCTCGCTTACAGCGTGTCCTGTCGATGCCCGCCGCCCGATAGTGCCGGCCCCTCGTTCTCGGATTTTCTTCCTCCCGCCAGTTGTTCGACATGCCTGTGCTCTGCCGTTCGTCGTAGAAGTTATGGCCGCAGCACCTCTAGCTGACAATCTACGTTGAACTCTCCTGTCCGATTCCTATAGACTGAAAGTTGCCCCACGTACAGCTGTGACGACTGTACATTCTGTTCAGGGGAAGAAGGTAGTTGCAAATGGCCAGGCTTGGTGAGCGAAGCTCGGTTCTGGTTGCTGTTTCGGTGAGATGTTTCAAGGTTCTGAAAAGACACACACAATACTAATGGCGCAATCGCACTTCTACTTTGCTGGACGGACATGACGGCAATCCCGTCGAGTAGCAGTGCATATACGATGGCATGCCGACTACTTCCAATAAGGAAAACCAAAAAAGGACAGTGTGCCTGCAGGCCCTGCATCCTAAAGCAAAACCGAATCGACTGAATATGTCATTCTCACAAAAATGCTGTTCGCAAAAGAAACACATTCTAGTCATAAACTTTGCGACTGAGCCAAAAAAAGAAAAACAGGCATACAGGTTGCTGGGCGGCAGGCAGAGAAGCTTGATATGGCGGCATTCAGACTCAACTAGGAAAATCCGAGAAGTGAGAACCGCCGTCCTGTTGCCGAAAGCCAATGAGAAACGACTGCCAATGAACAGACGAAGCTGTCCAGACCCACAACACAGAGAACTTTCGCTCGGGACCCGCAGAACGACAACAATCACGAAGGGAGAGGAGACTTTCATCATGACATCAGCCCTCATAGAACTGGCAGGCTACCAACATCAGGACTGTACTTGATCACCAAACTGGCAGGCTACCAACATCGGGACTGTACTTGATCACCAAAAGACTAAGTCCATAAGATTCTGCCAGCGCAGCTGCGCACCCTTGGGATGTGTCAAAAATCCTCCCCTCCCCCCCCCAAAAAAAACTCCCAAAGTTGCCAACGCAAACTTTAGCTGTATCTAGCAGCAGGGGATATGCTCTGCCATACAGCAGACGAAGGGTCCCTCTCCACCACTCTCCAAATGTTCAAAAATGAGACTGAATTTTGCACTAGAACATGGAAGATACTCCACCATATTTTTTTTTTCTGTTGTGCGTGTGGTGAGTAGTGGAACGTGGCCCAAAGGCCTGCGCACCCTCTAAAAGACCCAAAAAAAAAGAAAACAGAGTAGATATCCCATGAACAAAGTCGAGTTTCTGGTATATTGATATTCAGCCACATGCAGGTATGCATGCACAAAGCAGAGCCCCTTGCTGTCGGCACAGACTGGGGACTGGTGCGTTATCAGGCTTTTGTTAATGAACTTTAATAACAATAATAAAGGCATCGTCAAAACAGTGTCGACGAATTGCTCTTCACTGCAGAAAAGAGGGCAACAATGCTGCAGTCTTCCCAGTTCAACAGTAACTACCTCCACCAGCGTATCGAAAGATTCGAAACGCTGAAACTGCGATGACCTGCAACTGAGGCCAAACCTACCCGTGCTGTGTCATCCGCCCCACAGCGAAGATGTAAGGCTATGATGCGGTCGCACTTTGTGGCAGAGGCCACGGTCACACTTCGCGGCAGCAGGACCCAGGACTACTAATCCACGCAGAGAAAAGTATAAGCCCCGTGATCCTGGGTGAAGGAAAGCAGGTGCAAAGGAAAGAACATCCCCGGTAACGCCGACAGGGATCAGAGGAAAGTCGCCTCTACCCATATCGCATCCTGCTACCCACAAGTGCCCGAAGTCGCCTCTCCGCATGTCGCATCCTGCTACCTGCATGCGCCCATAGAGACACAGCTGCGAGCACAAGTGCCTGGCACAAAGCACAAAGTTCAAAACTGGGAATGCATGGGACATGGGCATTCTGAACGATGACCACAAGATGCCCACAGAGTAAAGGGCCCCGCCAAACTAGCAGAGGCGCAAATCAATGAAAGAAGGGCCTCTAACGGAGGCCCAGTTAGAATAATAAGCCTTCAGAAAAACACCGCTCTAGATGCGCAGTATCACACCCACAGAACGTGCAGGTTGCCTACAAATCCAACCAGCCTGCTGTAGACATGTCACCTCAAAACGCCAATACCTCCCGTTCAAGCAAAACACAAATCGTAGCCGAATCTGGCCATTCCCTTGGATCACAATCTTGCGAATGCGGCAACAACACTTACTCGTCGTATGCTTTCACGTGGGCATTCCCCACCAACCCTTGCTAAGGGATGGACCTGCTACATGCGCTCCCGCCAACATCACTATCCTACACATGTGACGCGTCTCTCTCAGTGGTTCCGATGCATGTTGCGATGGTCCTTGTATCATCCAATTTCTTCTTCGTCCCCACGATGCTCTCGTCCTGCCCCTGCTTACTCATTTGCTGCTACCGCAGTTTCCACTGTTGCAGTCTTCACTCCTGCAGTTTCCACTGTTGGAGTCTCCACTCTTGCGGTTTCAACTGCTGCAGTTTCCACTGTTCCAGTTTCCACTGCTACAGTGTCCACTGCTGCGGTTCCCACTGCTGCAGTGTCCACTGCTGCAGTTTTCATTGCTCTAGTTTCCACTGCTCCAGTTTCCGCTGCTGCAGACACTGCTACAATTTCCACTACTACAGTATTCAGTACAACAGTTTCCCTAACTGTAATTCCCCCTACTTCAGTTTTTACTGCTACAGCTTCCTGTCCTACAGCTCCAATGCAAAGAACATCGCAATCTCTCTGATGCTCACGTCCTTTGCTCCGAAATCTTGCCCAATGCACCCCCCTCTCATCTTTGTCTGTGCTTGGCCGTAGACGACTGCGTTCCTCCTCACCACCCCCATCTCCTCCACGGTCTCGCTTGCGAACAGACTCTCGAGTTTCCATTGTCCCCATTGTTCTACCAGCGTTGCTAGGTACAAGTTCAGCTTCTGTTTGCAACACCACTACTCCTCTTCTTGTGTATCACTGAGGACATTCGCGACATCGTCACTTGTCTAGGGATCAGTACAACCTGTTTCTTTGTCTGCCCCGATTCCCTTTGCCTCCTCCACAGGTTGTTGTCGTTCCTTTGTTTCAAACGGCAATATCCGCTCTTACGACTCCTGCAGACAATCCATCTGCCTGCAGGCAGCCACTAGTCCCTACTCAGGATGCAGCCGCTGCCCAGAGTACACTCCCGACTCCAGGTATAGTCCCCACTCAGGATGCAGCCCTAAACGTTGAGGGATTGGAACATGATCTGCCCTCATCGCAGTTGACCCCACAAGGCGTAGACCACATGGGGGATCTGCAAATGGCTTCCGGCATTGTTCGGATGAAACACAATTTTGTGCTCCGCCACACGCAGACCACATGGGTGATCTACAAATGACTGACCAACAAACAACCCAACACAGTTTAGGCTTGCAACACCATCTGGGTGATCTGCAAATTGTTGGTCAGCATCCAACAAACCAGCCTGAGAACCTCACCAATCTCTGTGGTTTGACAGCAACTAATATTTGTCTTCACATTCTCCATCGCCCGTTTTACACACCATCAGACTATCGCCCTTCAGCTTGATGCTGATCTTCCCCAACGACAGCTAGAGGATTGTAATCATACCAGCAAAGGAGGTTTTACCATTGCTGTCCTACAAGTAGCAATGAGGGACCGTCAACTTGAACTACGCAATGCTCGAGCAGGTGAGTGGTTTATTCCTCCATCCCACATCTCTGTCTGCATTGTGCACGGCCCTGACCATTACATGGCCATTGTACATGCCTCTGACCACTGGGAGTTGTGAGACAACGACAGCATGGTCCATGCCATGATTGATGTCACTGATTTCTTACAAAATGATGTTGTTTTTTTGCAACAACAAACATTCCGCAGTCTCTTTTATGTCGAAGATCATTCCTCTGGCCCCGTGCTGCAGCAAGAAAATGCACCAACACTCTGCGACCTTCTCCTTCGCACAACCACCAACACTGTTACACTCGGCTGTAGCCGCCATCGTCTCTGTCACAATCACTACAATGACACAGTTTCTGCATCCATGTGTGCAGAGGACTGTCCCACCGTTCCTGACTGCAGACACCCTCCGCATCCGGACACTATTTGTCCATTTTGCGGCCATGGGCGCTATACTGAATGCATGCTCTTTTGTGGTGACAGTTCTCGACATGCCATTTGTCGGGGGTGTATGGCGGTCATGCTCAATGCCACCCGTTGTGGCAATTGCTGCACTGAGAATGCTCAGCTAGGTCTTCCATGTGTTCATCCACGTCATCCTTACAATGTACGTCCTCTCTGTCGTCAAGGACAGACTCATTCTTGAACCTTTTCTTATCCTCTTTTGCCTTCATCTTCACTCCACACTCCATACTTTCCCTTTATCGTTCTTTGTTTGTCTGCTCTCCATCTCTCCTCCCTGTGTTTATCCCCTCCCCCATCACTCTGCCTCTTTCTCACAGCGTACGAGTGGGCTGTTATGGCGCACGGGGATGGGGGCAGCTCGCGCTCAACTTCATCAACGTGGTGAGCCTTGTACGTGAGAGGCACGGTGAAAGGGTAGTCAAAAGAAGAATTGAGTAAAATGAACGGTTTCACTGTGCCCTTCATGTTTGTCTGTTTTTTTTTTTTTTTTTGCCGTTTGTTTCGCAAATTGCACTGTTTTAGTTCATAGTTATGTAACAATATATATATACATCGTCACAAATAGAACTGCCCGGTAAACCGTAGGCAGAGAGAGAGAAGAGGACAACAAACGAGGGGCTGTGACAAACTGTTTCGTCGGAGTTTCACCGACTACATATATATATATTTGGGAAAAAAACGGTTGGGTAACTTGCACCTCCGCTGACTGAGACACCCCTGCGTTCGAGTTGGGTTCAAATTCAATTTCCTTCTTCGGAGTTTGGTGCTGCTTCAGGGGCAGCAATTGCGAAAGGCAATTTCAAGAGTTGTGTGGAACAAAAAAACACGTTCGGGGTTGAGTAACTACATTTCTACTTCTAGGGCACTTATCTCACAGACGTAAAATCACAAAAAGGTTACATTGCACAGGTTTAAAAGAAGTTTACAATGCAAAAAAAGTTGCGCATTGCAGAAATCTCACATTGCAATAAAACACAGTGCAGAAGCCTCGCATCGCAGAACGACCACACTGCGGAAAGGTTACGGGCAGCGGGACCAAGGAAAGAAGCCCGGCTTACTCCAAAGGACAGTCTACAATGCAGAAAGTTCTGATTGCAGAAAGATCACATTGCAGAAAGGTTATAATGCAAAAAGCTGTTCTTTGGGACTGGGACATCCGTTACAATTGAAACCATACAGACACGATATATACATATATATACACGATATATACATATATATATTGTCATGTATATATCGTCAAATAGAACTGCCCGGTAAACCGTAGGCAGAGAGGGAGAAGAGGACAACAAACGAGGGGCTGTGACAAACTGTTTCGTCGGAGT